TTGCAAGGAAATTTTTGCCTACTGGAATCTTCCCAAACTTTTCACTAGGGATACCTGCTTTCAGTGTTTAATTTAGGCCAGTACCGACGAGAGGCGGTGAGCTACAAGAACTATGAATTCTTTCTCCCAGACAACATGGAGGCCCTACTTATCAGGAAGTAAGTACCCAATACTTTAGGGGCCTGTTCTACCCTTTGGCTAAGGGAGTCTATTCGGATATTGAGGGAGTGGGCTAGGGTAATTTGGGACAGGGAGGAGAAACTTTAGATTCTCAAAGGGCAACCTTCTGTAGTCCTACTCAAAGCCTGTTTTTGGTCCTAACCATCCCAGCTCAAAAATGTTTTACAGTCTCCTACTTCTGATAGGAGAGTGTGTGAACTTCTTAATATAGCATTTGGGATGAAAATCTCATTAGCTTGGCTCACTCTACTCTGTATGTAGTCTTATCAACTCAGCCTAAAGATGTCTTTCCCTTATGTGACTCTAAGAATGTCTAGAACATAGCCTGGGTCTCATTTATTGCTCTATATTTAAATTATAGAACCCAGAAATCATTAAGCTGTTCCTCTCACTAAAAAAATTGCTGGAAGAATAAATACATAGCCACTGTCATACCTGAGTTTATGTTATCCATGCCAGGAATACCTTTAACTTCAAAGATTATATATCTAGGGCTTAGCCAGGTTCATAAGTGAGTTGAACTTGATCTCCATTTGCTTAAGGACTTAAAATTAGAGCTGTGATCACTAGTTTTTCATGGTCATGTCACTTTTTACCTGCCCCTGTTATACACCAGTGGTGGCAAACCTATGGCATGCAGGCATACACGCAGAGCCCTTTCTGTCAACATGTAAGTCAGATCGTCTCAAAAGCCAAGCATCAGATAACAGCTCACAAAAGCACACCAAATGCAAACTTTTCCCATTCTGTAAATCCATTTGCATCATTGAAAGCTCTGTTACCATTTTTTTTTCTTCTAAGATAAAGGTTGTTATGCATGAATTGTTTTTTCTAAACTAAAACCTCAGTAGGCTGGGAGATAGCTCAGTGGCTTAAGTGCCTGCCTGGCAAGTGCAAGGTCCTGAGTTCGATGCCAGGTACCAAAATCAATCAATCAATCAATCAATCAATCCTCAGTATTCTGGTTTAATCACAGTATTGGTACTTTGTGATAATATAAGTGAGTTTTGAGCACTTGATCTTCAAAAGTTTCAGCATCACTGCTATATATACTGAGCCAATTTCAACTGTGTGCTTGGCAAGATGCCTAAAGTAATTTAGTATAAGACATGTGAGGGTTTGTACAGAAAGTAATACAGATAAGACAAGAAGAATTCATCCTGGGGATATGAGTTTTTTGTTTCTTTCCCTATTTTTTAGGCAGTGTGCTCTGGCAGCCCTGAAGGATGTCCATGACTATCTCAGCCATGAGGAAGGTCATGTTGCGGTAAAGAAATTTCCTTTTTTTCTTGAGTATGTGCTTGAATGGAAAACAGCTAATGTGTACTGAGTGTTTACTATGCCATAAATCATTCTAAGTACTTTGCTTATGTAAATAATTTAATTTCACTCCCCCCCTCATGAGATAAGTATTGTTATTGTCCCCCACTTTAAAGCCAGGAAGAATGCCTCACAGAAAGACTAAATAATTGCTTAGTGTGGCACAACATGCACATGGTAGGATCAGAACTGGAATCCAGATTATACAGCTCAAGAATCTTCACACATAAGCACTGCTCTGTACTGGTCCACTCCCAAAAGTTCAGTAGGACTATACTAGAAGTTAATACTGAATTATAAACATTTTTAAATTCTGGATATTTATAATTTAAAATATCTATTGATTTAATCTCATAGATCTTTGAGGTAGGCTCTACAAATTTTAAAAGTGTAAGAGATCTTCAAAAAGATAAATGGTCTTATCTGAGGTGCTGAAGATAAGGAATTGTTTCCTATTCTGAGGACTTCTAATGTGATAAAGAAGGAATAAGCTGCACTTGGGAATTTGGGGAACCAGTTCTAGCTCTAGTCACCAGAAACTCTTAGTGGCTTTGGCCAAAGCAAGTCTTTCATAGGCCTCATTAACTTGACTCTAATAAAATTTCAGAATTTTTCTCTTGTTTTATTACATCCATAAAGTTGAGTATACTGGAAAGACATTAATGACTACTTATAACTATCAATAACTATTTATAAAATTGACAAAAGGCAATTCTAAATCCTTTCTTTTCTTCAAGATCTTCTTGAAGTTCTGCCTTCTCTGAAAGCCTTCCACTTAGCACAGGGGTGGACAAAGAGAGGATGATCTATCAACACTAATTCACAGTAAGCCAACCTCACTGCCCATCTCTAGGTTTTTGATGCCACCAATACTACCAGAGAACGACGGTCACTGATTCTTCAGTTTGCTAAAGAGCATGGTTATAAGGTACAATAAAACTTCCACTCTTGTCTAGAAGATACTTTTCTATCACAAACCCCAAATAAAGACAAACTGAAAGGTTCAGACCAACCAAATTGGCCACTTTAGGCTTAGCATCTTAATTTAGTTGTGTTACTTGTTTGGTACAGTCAGAAGCAACAAACTAACAGAAAGGGAAAGGTACCACCTTAAGCAATGCTGATAGGCTTACACTGGGGAATACACTAGCAATGGTAGAGTACACTTAAATATATATATATCACTAAAACCCAAAACAACAATCAGTTGTTCAACTTAAAGCAGGCTGCCTCATAAAACTCAGAATCCTAAAAGTGCCATTATTTGAGAACATTGTGTTGTCAGAGGATGCCCTTGAGAAAGACTCATATCCATTCAAGAAGCGATCAAGCTATGTTTGGCTTTTTCCATAAAAAATTTCCTGCTGTAACTGTACCCCACCTTCTTTTTCCAGTGTGAAAAACATAGCCTAGGGTCTGGTATACACATAGCAAGTGCTCTACTGTACTGAGCTATATCCCCATCCCTGAAATTCACTTTTCTTTTTCTCTTATAGGTCTTCTTCATTGAGTCCATTTGCAATGACCCTGACATCATTGCAGAAAATATCAAGGTAAGGAGCACCAGTAACCTTTCTTCCTTACTCTTTCTTAGGCCTGGACCAAGACTTAAAGTGACCTCTATGAGATTAAGGCAGTACTCCTGTCTGAACTTCTTCTCTTCCCACTTTGCATAGGAAGCATATCCTCACCATTCTATCCTACAAGGATCCTATGAAATTAGATTAAACCATGAAGACTCCTTAATGTGCATCAAGCAGCAAACTTGATGATCATCAATTCTTTCACAAAAACATCTGCATGTTAGGGATCATTTCCCTATTAGAGAGAAGAAACAGAGTCCAAAAGGAGAGATGTGTTTTCATATTGATACCACCAGAAAGAAAGAGAAGTAGAGCTGTACCTCAGTCTTGGTTGTCTGCTTTGAAAGCCTATGTTTTTCTTTCCCCAGAATTCACATCAGGACCACCACTGCCCTTAGGTTTGAGAAATATGGTCTAGAATTATATCATTGACCACATTTTGTTGTTCCCAACTTTGTCAAATTATGAGAAATCAGGAAAAGAAGAGACCTTATAGTGATGTCCTTTAACCCTCCATCAAATACTTCAAGTGTCAGATAAATGTTTATCTATATTTTTTCCATACCTGCAGTAACAGGTTCATAGATTTCAAGAAAGGTAGTCGAGTCAAGCTAAAACTTCCTCCCTTTAACATCTACTCATTGCTCTTATTTATTTTTTTATGTATTTAGTACAGGGTCTACAGGGTCTCACTACATAGATTGGACTCATAGTGATTCTCCCATTTTCAGCCTCCCAAGCACTGGGATTACAAGTGTGCACCACCATGCCCAGTCTCAATCGCCATCTCAGTGCACCCTGGGGGTGGGGCCAGCACGGCAGGCCAAGGATGGAACCCCCAGCCCCTCTGTCTGTCTAAGCAGGTGCTTTAGTCCGCTGAGCTATCTGGCTGGCCCTTCATTGGTCTTATTTTTACCTCTTGAGATATAAGTACGTTTAACTCCTCTCTTCTCTCTGCATCTATTTGCCCATCCATTTTTTTTCCAACATAAATTTATTATACATCTGGGCTAGGTCATTCTAAGCAGTAGATAAGCATAAATGATAGATGAGAGTCCTTCTCTTGATCTCACATTCTATTGAGGGAGATTGATCAGCATATAGATAGAACTCTGAGATCAGAGCTGAGGGAACAGAGGAGACTGACCACATAAGCTTATACATGGAAGTATGTCAGGGAAGGATTCCACATGGAGGTAATAGTTGAACTACATCTAGAACAATACATGAGAATTTTTGAAGTGAAGAATGAGAATGAAGGAATAGCAAATACTAAGTAAAGCATCTCCAAGGAAATATTTGTAGCATGGATTTACCGAAGCAAAGTATATGGAGGAATATGGAAGCAACAAGAGATGAGAATGAAGAAATAATTTGGGCCCAATCAGAAGTCATTAGTTACTTACTAGCAGAGTTTACCCTTTGTCCTAAAATGTATAGGAAATACTTAAGCAGGAAAATGCCATGGGTTAGATGTACATGTTAGGAACATCTTGCTGTCTTTCAGTATGGTGAGTAGATCTGAAGTATCATGACTATAGACAGTAATCAGTCACAGTGCTCTAGTGAGTACAAGCAAGTGAAATGGATGGTTAGAAGAGAGCAGTATTTGTTACCTCATAAGAGGGAACGGATGATAAAAAGAGGCATCTGAGATGACTTCTAGATTCTATATAGGCTCAGGTGACTCGGTAGATGAGATTAGGAATGTGGAAGAAAAAGTAAGTATTAGGGGACGAGATCCCAGTCCTTCAGAAATTTGAAGACACTGTACCAACTTCTCCCAGTATAAACTCAATACATGTAAGCCATGATTACTTCTGCCCCAGATTTCTGGTTCCACTTTAGCCTTTTGTCAGATCATAATTTCTATTCCTCTTAAAAATTTGTAGTCCAGTGTATTCTTTGGAACTACATGTAGTGTAAAAGTCCTTGTTTGACCACAATGAGGTTAGGAATGATTTGTCACATAGTCCTCAATCTCTTCAGTTGACGAATTTTATAAACTAGGATGAGACCTTTCTCCGAGTCTTAATTTTCTCATCTGTTGTACTCAGCGGGCTATGAGGGCCCTTCCCACGGACATTGTTAGAGTCTCTGTTTCCCTGGGTCACTATGTCCTCCCTTCTAGCAAGTGAAACTTGGAAGCCCTGATTACATAGACTGTGACCGAGAAAAGGTTCTAGAAGACTTTCTAAAGAGAATTGAATGCTATGAAGTCAACTACCAACCCTTGGATGATGAGTTGGACAGGTAAGACCCAGAACCCCAAAGTCAATGTCTGTATTCTTAAACCAGGTTTAATATCCTACAGGACCTAAGGAAATATCCCTCCTTTATGGGTCTCAACTTCTCCATCTGTGACACTACAAATGGGACTTGATGATCTGTCTTTAAGTACCTTTCTAGCTCTAACGGTCCATGAGCAAGAGATTCTTTGATATATGAGGTGTTCATGAGATGACTGAAATAGTGCATTTCTGAGCAATATGAATAGATCTGAATTCTGATCTCTGAAGACAGGTGCTTCCCTCTTGGAGTGTTGCCAGCATTATTACAAAAGAGTTCTTCACACAACCATAACACTTTATTTTCCAAATTTGTTCACCTTCTTTCATGGAACCCCTACAGCAACCGCTTTAAAGGAGGTTGAGATGTGTATTTTAAATTTTCAAGAAGAAATTGAGTCCTATAGAGCTAAAACTTTCACAAGTTTTTGCCATGAATCAGGTAGAGCTAGAATTCTAGTCATATATTGTATCTCTTCATGTCTTTTTCACAAAACTCATGCAACTTTTCAGTCAGCAAGTATTTAACCCCTTTGGGCTATGGTGTGTTTATAGGTTGTAAAAGGGGCAAGAGAGATGGGTTCTGTTCTCAGGTAGTTTGCATAATACTTTGAAATATGGAAAGATCTATGAAGTATAAATTTTCTGTAATGTATCAGGTAAAAGTAAGAGACACTTTAGATGGCATTACAGGCAGGTATGAATTTAGATATAAAGTATTCCCAAAAACCCACTTTCAAAATATGTTGACATGAGAAGAGACTGGGATCACTCATATCCTTTGAGACTTGAGTACAAAGTATAAGATATTAAATGATCATGACCACCCTAAGAAACTTAAATAGCATCCTTTCAGCTTCACCTAGTTAAAGTATTGAGAGGTAGTTATTATTATTTTTCCATGCTTTAATCAAGAAGACTGAGACCACACAATGAGATATCATCAGAGTATTACTGAAACTCATTTTCCCAAAATTTCAACATATTTCTTCGCACTTCTAAATCCCCATATCATGACTACTTTCAGACAGGGATTATGCACTCTAAGCAAAAGGCATGTCCTTTATATATGGTTGTGCATATTGTTTACTATACAAGTACACTGGTCAAAGGCATACTTGGTTCTATCACTAAGACATGTGCTGAGGTGGAAATAGGTATCCTTTAAGGAAGATGTGGCTTTTTCAGATTTTAAGTGGGCCTTTTGCCAGAATAACCCTGTGGGCTAACAGCTTATGCTGGAAGGTGCTTGAAGGATGAAAATTAAGAAGGATGAAATGGAAAAAGGATGTCAAGAAAGCTCCCAGCCCTAGATCTGATTCTGACAAGGTTGCTGTTGCTTTTTGATTAATGTGTTTGAGCCTGAAGAAGACATATCTAGAAGGCCAACTTTATTTCATCATTTTTTTCTATCAAAGGATATTTACAGTCTATGCATCACGTTCAGCCTTATCTGTGCCTGAGGAACCCAGAGAGGGAAGGGTTACCACTACTGGGATTAAAAAGCCTGTTTGATTAGACAAGAAAAATTATAGACACTTAATCACAACTGTGGAGACAGTTAATCAAATGCTCCAAATGGGCATAAGAGGGCATCTGTTCTAGCTTAGAGAAACAAGGCCCAGAAAAGAACTGGATTTTCCAGGAGGCAGATTTAAATATGCACTTAGGGCAGTGGCAAGTTTCTAAAAGTAAAAAGAAAAATATCTCAGAAGTTTTTAATATTTAGCATTTCAAAAATATAATCAAAGGGCTGGGGAGATAACTCTGAGGTCTAGACACCTGCCTGACAGGTGCAAGGACCTGGGTTTGATCCCTGGTACCATATGCCTTGCCAGCCCTGGAACACTGACGGCCCCTTGCCAGCCACTGAAAGCAGGCATGGTGGCACATGCCTGTAATCCCAGTGCTGAGGAGGCTGAGACAGGAGGATCACTACAAGTCTGAGCTGAATAGTGAGATCCTGTACCAAATAAATAAAAGATTAAAAATAATATAATGGTTATGAAGATTCCTGTACTTTAAAATCACCAATCTCTCCCATATGCATAGAAAATATTCAATAAATGCAGTAACTGGACATGGATCACAGGGCTGAGCATGATGAGTGTGGTACAGACATAATAAAGGATTTGTCTAGAAAGATCAAAGGAGAAGTTTTCTAAAACCTAATCCATAAGCAATCTTAGCTTCTTGGGCTAATACTGCTCTTTCCCTTCACTTGATTTTCTTACTTTGCAAGCAGAGCAGCTGGTATCATTTCATTACGTCAGCCTTCCAGGAATCTCTCTGAACTTAGAGTCTAACACATAAAGGATTAATGGCTGGTATGACAGAAATCTCAGTGGTTTTGCTCTGTAGTTCTAGCTTTCTGATTAGTCCTCCAAGCTCCTCCACAGACAGGTAGTTGAATAGGTTGTCATTCAGTGTGTATTTATTAGTTGCAAGCACACATAGACACAACCTTGTTACTGCCTGTGGAGTATAAAGTACAATGTACCTTGATTAAGGGTTAATGAAAGGAGGATGGAGTTCACTTTAGGATTAAAAAGCATGTGGCAATGAGCAAGATAAGAGCTACCAGCAAAATGTTGGGAGAGAGCCAGGAATATGGACGCTAACTATTTCTCTGTGACAGAAGTGGGAATCACAGAGGAGAAAACCTTAGCTGCCTGCATTGTAAAAAGCAGGAAAAAAAAAAAAAGACAGCCTGACTCATGGAATCTCATTAGATAAGAGCTGAATTTCAAAGGAGACTTGAAAGAAGGGCATATAGTTGGGGCTTTCTCTTGGGATCAGCCCTCTCTACCATTAGCTCCTGAGCTGCTTTTGCTCCTGTTTGGGTCTGGCCCAGCCATCTGTCCTACATCAAGATCTTCGATGTGGGCACACGCTATATGGTGAACCGAGTGCAAGACCATATCCAGAGCCGCACAGTCTACTACCTCATGAACATCCATGTCACGCCACGCTCCATCTACCTATGCCGGCATGGTGAGAGTGAACTCAACCTCAAAGGCCGCATCGGAGGTGACTCAGGCCTCTCAGCTCGGGGAAAGCAGGTAGGGAGGTCTCTGCACACTCAGCTGGGTGACTTGAGTGAGCTGGGTCACCACTGTCTAGATCTTGAGGAGCAGATACCCAATGATGGAATAGAAGCAGATTCCAAGGTCATTCTTGGTCTTACACATTGCTAGTCACTCCGTGTACATATAGCCATTGAATGGTTTCCATATGCCAACTGCTGCCTCCAAGTCTAATAGATAGCTTCTGGTCCTCCAGTCCAGCCTGGATCTGGCTGCTTCTGAAGCCCCATCACAATGACCATAATTGTTTTGCATGATGGGTTCCCTCATTATTTACACCATTTGGATTTTGCCTGTGTTGACTTTGCTGCTCTCTTCTGGCAGCTGGTAACCATCATGTACACAGATAGCTGCCCTGAAGACCCCACCCTGGTACTTTCTCTCCAACTCAGGGCTGATGCTGCCCCCTTCCCCCATCACAGGAATCACACTACCAACACTACTGCATCTTTCTTGATTCCTGCACTCCCTTCCAAGGCCCAGCATCTGGTCTAAGATCTAGTTAAAAGAACCATCCTCCCCTACTTCTCCTCCTCCTAGACAGGTCACAGAGCTCTGGGCTCTATCTCTCCTTATTCTGATTGTCTTTGACTCTATTAGGACACAAATCTCTTCCTCCCACATGGCTATAGTGACCTGCATATTCTGGGTGCTGGGTCTATAAAGGGATACATTTTCCTAGCACCTGGTGCTATGGCTTGGCTTGGTAGCACAGATGTTACTTTCTAAGAGAATCACTTGGGGTGCGACAAGTGGGAAATGAAGTACAGAAGAGACACTCTGGTATTGTATCCATTGTATTGGTATTTTATCCATCGTATTCATGGTATCCAATTCACAGATTGGATACATATACAGTCATGGTGCCATCTACTACCATGTGTATAACCTCATTTAATATTTACAATCGCTGCATGGGAAGGGGTAGTGACTGCCATTACTGGTTTAAGAGATTGGGTCCAAAGAGGAACAGAAGATGGTCCCAGATTACAGAGTTTGTATAGGGCAGCACCAGGGTGAACTAGGTCTTCCTATCTGGTCTCAGCCTCCCTGCTAGAGAGATGGGGGATGTGCCAAGTACAGCACTGCCTCAAAAGGTATAGTCTTCAAAGCTCCCTTCTGTTACATCCAGACTGGCAGCCTCCCCATCAAGATAAGCTGTGGTCTGACTTGCTCCTCAGAGCAAAGGCCACGAAGGCATCAGTTCATCCTGATGGCACCATTTGTACCCCAGGGTTTCTTGGATGGAGCTGGCCCTGGCACTACCCCCAAGTTCAGAGCATGGGGCAGCATATAGCCATTTCCACATATGTGCCTTCCAAACATACAGACAAATGCATATGCACATACATATTAGGCCTGAATTTTCACAATCATGAGCATAGTGAACTAGATCTAGTTTAGAAGTACTTTCCCATTAACGGTCTTACCAGTTCTCAAAGTTGTCAGTCATGCAGCACCTATGAAGTACTAGGCAATAATGGTCTGGAGTATCATCTAAAATGATACTCAGAGACTAACGTGCTATTTACATCTTACAGGCAGGACACAAGGGTAGAGAGGGTGGGTTATGGATGGTCCAATGGAAGCTAACCCAAATCTGCTACCTCATGAGAGGCAAGAACTGCCAAAACACAGCTGACTCATAACCGTCCTTAAATGTATACCCAAAATACCTGTATTTGTAAGTAAATTTGTCTGCTAGTGTACACTTATTCAGATGTTCCTAGCACACATCATCAGTGATTCAAAACATTCACAGGAGAATAAATCCTTTGCTGTCCTGGGTTCCCATAGTTCTTTGTGGTTCTTCCCAGTGCTGCCATTATTTCCTTCCCTATATTGTCTATATCTTGAAAAATATTATTTTACTGAAGCACCTAGCAGTGACATTCACACTCAGTATATATATGAGTTCCCTTAAAATCTGAGTGCCAGAAGCCTCACTCAAGTAATGATATTTCACATCATGAATGAGAAATTTCTCCCAGATTCCATTCTTCCCACTTCCAGACCAAACTCTTTAGACTTTGTGCTATAGAGTTCATGACTTCGAACCTGCTTCAGTTGACTTCACTAGACTACCATGAGAGTCTGTCTGCCTGAATGTGCGCCATGTCACAAGAGTGTTCACCCTTAGGCCAAAAGATAGTTACTCTTTATGGAGAATGTAGATCAGTATAGATGAGATGTGACCAGAGTTTGGTCCTATGTCTTGATAAGCTACAAACATGTACTTAAGACCCCTAAAAGTACAGGATGACCCCAGAAATGGAAGGACAAATGAGGTAAAATGTTGTGTGAACCCTCCATTTTTACTCTTGTCCTAGACTCCATGGTAGAATGCATGTTTACAAGAATGAATACCCTATGGGGCTAAGTGAGCAAATATCAGTGACTACACACACACACACACACACACACACACACACACACACACACCCTCTTTATGGTAATTTTCTAGGTACAGTGGTGCCTCAGTTCATGAACTTAATTTATTCTGCGATTTTGGAAAACATGGCCATGTTTGTGTTTGTATGAGAAAGATGCCTGTATTTGTGCATTTTGATAAATTTGGAATATTACTGCTCCATTATTTGTAGCAAATTTGAGCTTGTTTTCATGGTTCCATTATCCGTTCTCATTTCTCTTTTTCTCCTGTTTTCTTCTACACTCCACATCCCAGTATGCCTATGCCCTGGCCAACTTCATTCGGTCCCAGGGTATCAGCTCCCTGAAGGTGTGGACAAGTCACATGAAAAGAACTATTCAAACAGCTGAGGCCCTTGGTGTCTCCTATGAGCAGTGGAAGGCCCTGAATGAGATTGATGCGGTAAGATGGGAAGGGTAAATGTACTGACAGATAGGGGAATTTGGATCTGAGCTTACTGCCTTGATTATTGTCCCAGCCTGTATGAGGAACTTAACTCAGTGAGTATTTCTTGACAACCAGCCATGTTCAAGACTCCATTCTCTTCCTGCATATCCAGTGGAGGCCAGGGTCTTTGCCCTCATAGAATCTAGTGAGCTGGGAGGGGATATACAAAAAACTATGGAGATCAAAAGGTAAAAGTACTGCTGACCAGATTTGGGAAGGAGATTTATAAAGAAAGCTTCCTAAAGGAAGGTAGAGGTGAGATAAGAAGCAGGAAAAAATAGTTTGAGAATGGGACAATAAATCTTAATTCAAGGGCAGGGATCAGTACATGCAATGGCTCAGAAATGAGAACAGAGCATGGTATATTCTTAGAATCAAAAGAGCTGCTGGGACAGTGATAGTGAGGTCTGGAGAGAAAGGAGATGAGGCTGGAACAAAGACCCAAGCCACATTGAGATATTTAGACTTCCCTGAAAACAACAGGAAGCCATCAACATGGTCTATTTCAAAAAAGAGTGGCCTGAACATAATACACATTTTTAAAGCCCACTATGAACTTTTGTAGAGACTAGCTGGGAAGAATAACAGAATGAGCATTTAGACCAATCAGGAAGTGGCTATAATAGTGTTGCAAGAGATAAAGAAATGGACCAGAGTAGTGGCATTAGAGATGGAATGAAGAAGAATGACTTGGGCAGTGTTTTCAAGGTAGTGTCAGTATGTATCTAGATGATGCACTGAGTATAAGGAGTAAGGGATAAGGAGGAGTGAAAAATCCAACCCTGGTGATGTGGCAGTTTCTTTTTAGGGACAGGTTTTCCTGTGAGCTCTTTGAGAAAGGAATTTTTTTAAAATTTCCCTGTTTTACCTGTACTGTAGGTACACTGGTGCTGGGTCCACAGGTTATAGTTGTTAGATGCCAACATTAGAACTTCACCAGATTTATAGGTAACTTGCTTGCCTGCTAGATATTCTTTGACAGATGACACATGTATGTGTGTGTACATTTATGTGTATGGACATAAATATGGCTTGCATAGGTACACATATTTAGAAAAGGGCTATATAGAGCTATTCAATATATTGTATAAGTTTGCAATAAAATGCAAGAATGAAAATATATATATATATATATATATATATATATATATATATGAATTTGACTGCTGCTTATTTCTGGCTCACATGTGGAACATTTATGGAAAACTTACTTTTTCAGGTTCTGAAAACGAGCTGGGGGCAGAAATTAACCTTTACTTAGCTGAGATAAATAGATGACTGACTAAATGGGTTCAAGTCAAGCCTATCTTAACTAAGTTTTCAGGATAAACAGGGCAGACAGAGGAATACAAAACGGCATGACTCTAGTGAAACTGTGGGCACATAGAAGCTAGGGCAAAGCACCTTGACCTAGCCATGAAAGGCCTGAAGGTAGTAATACCTAGCAGAAGCCTGAGGATTTAAGTTACAGTGAACAGGTAGAAAGGATCTGGATTAGTGTTTTGGGCAGAAAAAGTATCATGTGAATATGCAGATTCTTAAGTTGTAGCAGTGAAGATATGGAAGAAAAAGATTTGAGAGAGATTTAAGAGTTAAAATGTCAGAGGGGCTGGTGAGATGGCTCAGTGGTCTAAACACCTACTTAGAACAAGCTTAGCAAAGCACAGGGACCGCGGTTCAATCCCCCAGCACCACATGACAGCCAGCCCTGCCCCCTGGTGGGCTGAGCTGGTCACACACACACACATAAATAAATAAATAAATAATTTTTTTTAAAAAGTCAGAGATTGCATATAGGGGATGAGTAAAGGAGAAGCAAGAATTTAGAATTTATTTTCCATAATTGATAATATTAATGTTTAATCCCATTGGTACTTTTATATGTGCCTTGTACATCTTGTATTAGTATATTTCATATATATTATCTCTAAAGTTCAAAGCACTTCTGTAAGTTGTGACTTTCATTTTCCAATGAGGAAAATAAAATTCACAGAAGTTAGGCAATTTGCTCTTCTGTGATGCCCCTCTGCCATGTCACCCTGTCTTGGAGCCAACTGATTATGATCTGAAACCTCAAAAACTGTGAGCCAAAATAAACCTTTCTTCTTCTAACTTTGGTTGTTAGATATTTTGTCTCAGCAATTCAAAAAGTCACTAAGAAACATTTGGGTATTGAGAGTGGGGTCATTGCTGTGAATGTACCAGACCATGTGTTTCAGCAGCCATTTAAACTGGATTACAGGAAGAATTTGGAAAGGTTTGGAGAAGCCAATTGAAGATGCTGCTCTGGAATGCCTTAAGCTGTATTTAATAGGAGATTCTAGTCAGAACTCAGAATACCAGAATAGTAATAGAAATGATACCAGTACAGACCAGGCTCAGGAGGTTTCTCCTAGGAAGAAGGATTACATTGGTTGTTAGACCCCAGATCATGTGTATAATACTTTTTGAGAAAGTTGGTTTGCATTTTACTTGTGTCTAGAGATGTTGCCTGAGACAGTGATTAAGAGTGGCAGACTAATTAATCTTGAAGAAAAAATTTTAAGGTAGTCTAATGTTGAAATGGTGGTATGGCTACTTGTTGAGGGCTTTTAACCAGGTCTATGTTGAGAATCATGAACAAAGAGTGCAAAAGAATGATGTAAAATGTTGTGAATTTGGCCAGAAATCAAGCTATAGTAAAGCCATGGACTGCAGAGATGGAAAAGAAAAGAACTTGGTTGCTGAGAAAGAACAGGACAATACCAAAAAAATGGCTAAGAGTTCACTTTAAATCTCAGAACATCACAAGAAACAACAGAAATCCACCCTTGGCAGTCTTAAGGTTGCAAAAATTCATTTTGCAACCTTAAGAAAAAAATTTGTTTTGAAAAGAGAGCTCCCAGAGTACCAGGTTACATCCACAATGGTAGGGGCCTAGAGAACTTGTTCCTCAGGATTGGGTTCATAGTGCTCAGTGACCCAGGCATTCAACCCCTATAGCCAAAAGAGTATGATGTCTGGATACTGCCCCACCTGTCAGCAGACCTGAGTGCCATCCATATGGTGCTGGTTTTAGGTGTATGCAGAATGCAAGAATTGTGGGATCAGGAAATTTTCCACCTAGATTTCAAAAGAAGGCCTGGGAGGCTAGGCAGTTTGCCTCTGAGAAAGCAGTGTATGAAGCTGTGAGTGTAAAGCTCAAGGTGTAGTGGAGACCCAGATGGTTGGAGAATCTAGGAGCAAATGAATAGTCTGAGGAAGGCTGTGAGAGATGAGCAAAGCTATCCTAAGAGAGAAGCCTTGAGAGCTTCAACTACATTCCATGCCACAGGTGTGGGGCCATCCAAGCCTTTTAGCATTCACCTCTTATAATGTCTGCCTTAGACACTGGACATGGTATTACAGAACTAAATGTTTACCCTGCTGGATTTTGACTTGCTTTGATCCCATTCCTTGTATCTCCCCACACACAAACTTGGAATGGGGATGTTTATCTTGTGCCATTGTGGCTTGCAGCTAAGAGTTCACTTTAAATCTCAGAGGGTACTTTAGACTAGACCTTTTCAGAAATGGTGAAACTATTAGGATTTTAGTGACTCTTGGAGATGGAATAAATGCCTTTTGCATGAGTCTTTGGTGATCCAGGGTAAAATGTTGTTTGTATCTGATGCCCCCCCCCCAGAGCATCATGCAGTCATATGTGAGGCTTTTCCAAGGTGACTGTATCTGAGTGTGTAATGCTGGGATTAAGGGTTGATTACTAAATTAGTCCACTGATTAGCTTGACCTATGTGAATTCTACCTGTCCTAAGGACATATAGTCCAAATATAATATAAGGGATAGAAAGAAGACTGCTGTCATTACCTTGATGCCTTCTTCCCACTGTGAATTGTTTCTCATCTGTAATGCTATACTGCCATAGCACCTCACCTTGGAGCCAACTGATTATGGACTGAAACCTTTATGAACTGTGAGCCAGTTTTCCTCCTCTAAATTTGAGGATTGGGTATTTTGTCTCAGCAACACAAAAAGTAAGACACACCTAGACCCGTATGGAGACACATACCACAAAGACCTCCACAAGGGAACATTCTCAGACGTACAGACATCCTGTATATATCCACACACATGCAAGTACATAAATGCACACACACACACACACACACACACACACACACAGTCGTATTCAACATTTTGTCACCGAATAAATATTTGAGAAAAACAACTTCAAAAAGTAAAGATTTGCTAGTGAGATAGCTCAGCAGGCCAAACACCTGCTTAGGCAAATGCAGGGACCAGAGTTTGATCCCCAGCACCACATGCCATACTGGCCCCGCCCTCAAGCATGCTGAGCAGGCCATTGAATTGGCATGGAGGGACATCCCTGTAATCCCAGCACTGGGGAGACTGAAAACAGGAGGATCACCATGAGTCTGAGCTGCATAGTAAGACCCTATGCCAAATAAAAAAAAGAAAGAAAAAAATAATGATTTATTTTGACTTATGGTTTCAGAAGTTTCAATTCATGGTTTTCTGGGTCTAAGGCAGAAATATGATAGAAGGATGTGGGAAAGAAAGCTGCTCACCTCGTAGCATCCATGAAGTAGAAGAGAAAGAAGAAAAGCTAGAGACAAGGGACTAGGAACCAGATACATTACCCAAAGTCACAGTCCCATGCTTCATTCCCTTCACCTAGGTACCAGCTCTGCCTCATTGCCCAATAATGTCATCAAATTATGCTCTCATCGGAGTGTTAATCCACTAATGAAATTAAAGCCTTCATGATCCAATCAACTTCCCCAAAGTCTGTCAGCTGATCTTTGGGGCAACTTATACATTCAGACCATAACACATAAACCACACAAACACACTACATATGCATAAACAAATATAAGGCATAAATTCTTTTTTTTACTATTATTTTAGCTATGTTTATTTTTTTTATTTTTTTTTCAAAATTTTATTGATGAACAGCAATAAGACAGTTTCAAATCAAATCGGAAGTACAGTTTCAACAAATAGTACACTGCATATATTCTTCTTAGTGGTTAATTGCTGTACAAGATGCGGACTTGAGATCCTATTTACAAACGCCATTAGAACAAATCATTCTATTCATTAAGAGAATGCAACTATATATCTATCCTAACCACTTTGAATACACAGATACAAAATGGACATTATCGGTATTCCCCATTTTTTCTAAGTTCCATTATTGAATATTATAGGTGTGTAAAAGGCATAAATTCTTAAGCCCATCAACATTTTATAAGTATGCTGCACACATAATAGTAAACACAATCGCAAATCTTTATGCTTATATATTCACAAAAATGCATATGTAAGATAGTTACATTCTCTTAATGAATAGATGGATTTGTTCTAATAGTGTTTGTAAATAGGATATCATGTCCGCATCTTGTACAGCAAATAACCACTAGGAAGGCAGTATGCAATGTGTTAACTATTGAAACTGACCTACCAATTTCGTTTGAAACTGTCTCATTGCTATTTGTTTCTCAATAAAATTATGGAAAAAATGCATATGTATAAGGTGTACCTATAGACCTACTGAGACAATCATAGAAAAACACCATACACTTAACCAGAATATTTTTGCCCAGATACACTTTTTCTCACACCTACACAGCCAAACACTTCATCCATACATATTCACTCACAAACAGGCACAACTTCAGCACTGTGTTCACAGAGATCCAGACAATCATGTTTTGCTTCATAGTCACTGACCTCAGAAATATGGAAAAAGCTGTAAATATTTCCCAAGTAAATACTTTTGTCTCTTTTTTTTTCCTTAGGGTGTCTGTGAGGAAATGACCTATGAAGAAATCCAGGAACACTACCCTGAAGAATTTGCACTACGGGATCAAGATAAATATCGTTACCGCTATCCCAAGGGCGAGGTAAGGTTTGCAATAATCACCTAATTCCTGGGATTCCTGCCTAGTATCTTTATTCTAACTTCTAGGTTTTCATAGTTTCTCAAACAGCTTTAGAAACAGGTAGCTTTAAATAAGCTATTTTTCAGTAGCTTCCCTTTTATAAAGCACATGATCATCTAACCCTTGGCTATCTCAAATTCTTAACTATAGGCAATAGATTCCTCCCATTTAAAAGCTATGTATTTGTTTGCTCATGCTCTGATTTTAAAAGGGCTCATTTTATTGTCCACCTTATCTCTGGAATCTTCTGACTGTAGAAATATCTTCAACATATTCTAATTTCATGACATTCTGTTGCCAAGTTGCCTAAAGCTCTAGTGTCTGTAGGAAGTTGACATCATCCTCGGGGACAGTGGATACTTTTCCTGTCAACTTTGTCATCACTTGAATCAGATTATCAGTTGCCAATCTCCACATGATATAAAGGCTTGTTGCTTTTAACCTAGCATCTACTTACTCAGTTCTACATTTTACAGTATTATTCATACTCCATTTATGATATAAGCTTCTATAATAATTATCAGAAAATCAGAGCAGGAATAGATACTCTTTTCAGGTATAAAGCACTGTAGCATTTTTATCTTCAGAAATCATTTATAAATGCAGATTCAGTTTCCCTTCATTTTCCTTTATATATTTGAGGCTATGTTGCTAAGGACATAAAAATTTAAAGAAATCATGTCTTCTCCATGAATTGTATATTTTGTTATTATAATAAACCTCTTTCTGATTACTAATACTGTTTGCTGAAAGTCTATTTTATCTAATATTAATATAGCTATACAAACTTTCTTCTGATGACTTTGTAACTTTTGTTACTTTCTATGTAAGTGTTTCTGCTTTGTATGTCCAATAAACAGCTTTTAGTTGTGTTTTACTGTTTGTAATCCAAACTGAAAATTATGTATTTTGGATGGTAAGTTTGGTACATTGATTTGTTATTGTTTTGTTTTGTTTTTTTTTTAATATTTATTTATTTATTTATTTATTTAGTGTATGTGTGTATGGCCAGCTCAGCCCACCAGGGGGCGGGGCTGGCTGGCATGTGGTGCTGGGGGATTGAACCGCGGTCCCTGTGCTTTGCTTAGCTTAGCTTGTTCTAAGTAGGTGCTTTAGACCACTGAGCCATCTCACCAGCCCCGATTTGTTATTGTTAATTACTGTTTTTGAAATTTATTTCTATTATCTTAAGTATGCAAACCTTTATTTTTTTTCTTTCTTTTTTTTCTTTTTTGCAGTATTAGGGATTGAACTCAGGACCTTACACTTGCCAGGCAAGCGCTTACTCTACTGAGCTATCTCCCTGACCCCCTAAAGCTTTATTTTTCTCTTATTCTGGATTGAATTTTTGTATGTATAGTCTATTCAGATAATCTGTTTCCACCCTTTTAGTGGTTATCCTTAACATGTTAAAAAATTTCATCATTCAGTAGATCAGCAAAAATCAGCAGTACAATTATCCAACCTATCCTCTATATATACATATGTATTTCTTTCTCCCTTCTTTTTTCTTTTCCCTCATCCCAGTTTTCATTCACCTTGAACAGTTTCTTTCTCTTTCACAATATCTATTTTACCTTTCAGATTTTACCCTTCCAAGTTCTTACACTAGGGAGACAGTATGATATTTATACATGTGGGTCTGATATAGTTCACTTATGAGTATAGTTTCTTGTTGCATCCATTTACCTATAAAAGCCTTGAGCTTATCTTTCTTTATAGCTGAGTAATACTCCATTGTATAAAAATACTACATCTTCTCTATCCATTCTTCAACTGATGGGCATTTGGGTTGTTTCCAAGATTTACCTATGACAAATTGTGGTGTTATAATCATGGGGACACATATGTCACTGTGGTATGATGTCTTCAGTTGTTCTGGAAAGATACCAGGAGGGGAATAAATGGGTTGAATGGGACCTTTAATCTGCTCATCTATTAAAAGGAGCAGGTAATGCTCAATTTTTTTCTCTTTAATTTTTTGACCAATTTTGCATGCTTGTATCTGGTAATCTGAATAACTAATTTGAAGACAACAATATGCAATATAACAACCACTGTTGAATTCTTATCATTGTGTTTGATGAAATTCTGTATTCTTTCTAATTTTTTTACTATTTTTTATTCTCTTCAAAATTTTAAAGAATTTAAAAATTTTCATCATGTTTCATTCTATTCTTGTAGCCATCCCACTAAGATTGTGAGGTCAAAATATTGTACATTACAGTCATTTGAAATAATTCCTGTGTGTTGTTATACAACCAATTTGAACACAACATTTTAATATAATTAAAATTTAAAAATCAGTATTTCTACCATCCTCCCAAACAGAAGAACTTTAAAACTCTGGCTACTTTCTCTCCTAATTTATATGTTCTTTTGTATTTTAGTTCCACCTTAGTCTTTACCTCCAGTGAATTATTAATGTTGTTATTGCTGTTTTTATTATGACTGGGTATAGTCTATTTTACTTAGATTTTATCACGTATTTGCCAATTTCTTTGATCATTCTTTTTCCTTACATCTAAAGTCCTATCTTCTGGGTTCACTTTGCGTCTTACCTTGGAATCTATTAATAGCAAACTCACCCTGTTTTTCTCTAAAACTGTCTTAGGTGGTGAGCATCTTCAATCCTAGATGATATGTTGTCTGAGTTTAAAACCATAGGTTGACGTTATTTTCCCAGAATTTTAAAGATATTATCGTCTCTGTCTTCTGGCTTCTCCTCTAGCTAAAATCTTACTCATCTTAATTGTTTCTTTTCTACTCTTAAAGTCTTTGTATCTTTTTTTGTTTGAGTTTCACTGTTTTATATCTAGATATTATTTATTATCTTGCTTGAGATTGATTGAATTTCATGAATCTGAGAATTAGAATTTTCAGTTCTATAAAACTCTCATATTGTATGTCTATAAATTGTTCCCTTGCATGTTCTCTGTCATCTGTTCCTAGAAATAAAATTAGATAAGTAATTTAGATCCTTCACATTCCCTAATTTTTCCTTATTTTCTCACTTTGCTATATTCAATAATTTCCAAATCACTGTTTCTTAATATATAATATACTGTTTATCCCCTCCATTTAGTTTTTTATTTCAATGAGTCTATTTTTTGTTTCTCAAATTCTTAGTTGTTTTTCAAACCAGCATATATTTGATAATAACTTGTTTATTTCTTATTTTGGGGGTACTTGGGATTAAGCCCGGGACCTTTACACCAAGCTATATCCTCAACTATATCTCTATCTATCTATCTATCTATTTATCTATCTATCTATCTATCAATCATCTATCATCTATCTTTTTGAGACAGTCACTAAGTTGCCCAAGCTGGGCTTGAACTCATGGTCTTCCTGCGTCACCCTCCCAAAGTGTTTGGGTTACATGCATTTCTTACATTTTAATTGTATATTTTATTTCTTTAAAAATAAAAAGAAATTTCATATTGTGTATTATGTAAACTTCTAGAAATCTCTTCCTGTTGTTTCTGCTTATTATCATTTATAGTAGTTTATTTATTTCCTTCTGAGTTTGGATTTATCTGTGGAAATTTTCCTGTGGGAATCCCACACATGCTGAGGTAAAGAAATACAAAGATGTTCCATTTGCTTCCTTTAAGTAGTCCTGGAAGCTAATGAATTCACATCAATTTTTGTGAAACTCTCAGTAAAACATATTTCAAACCACATGGGTAGTATAATTATGATTCTCCAAACTACCTGAGGGAAAATTTTTATTTAAAAATACTAAAGGGCTCTTTACAAGTTTTCTTCACCAAGATATAAGAAGAGACAAAAACATCTTGTTTTCCTTTGCTTATAGAGATTTTCTCTACTAGTTTTTTCTAGTTTACTTTTTCTAATTTTATTAAATATATCAACATTTGACCTATGAAGGTCTCAGATTTATATTAGAGTCTCAGTCCAAACTTCCCACTGTGTGCACACTTAAGTTCCTTTTTTTCTATTTCTGTAACATTTAAAGGTTCAAGCCTCTTGGTTACTATGATTGACAAGTACCATCAGGACTGCTATGGCTTCTATATCCACTAATCATTCTTTTCTCCCAAGTTTTTCATTTTGGAGTCCTGTATTCATCAAATATTTTTTATTCTTTTAAAATATCAATAGTGTAGTTACGTAGACAAAAAAAAGACATCTTCTATCAAGATTGTATCCAAATTTTACCAAATGTAAATATTACAAATATATACCAATAAATAAGTCTCCTCTACTATAGACAATTGAATATCAATAAGAATTTTATTAGTTTCATTTCTTCACTATTTTTAACAATATAACCAACCAAACTGTTGAACAAAAATGACATCTTGTAGTGAGGTTTAATGTTATTTAGCCCACTGTATTGATTACCCCTGCCTAACATTTTCTTTCTGTTTTCTTCTTGACTTTTATTTTTTTTATTTTCTTTTATTGAGAAACAAATATCAATGAGACAGTTTCAAAGCTGATTAATAGGACATTTTCGATAATTAATACATTGTACATTGTTATCTTCTTAGTGGTTATCCATAGTACAAGAAGCAGACAGGATATCTTGTCCAAACACCATTACTACAAATCTTTTTCTCATTGAACTAAGTGAAAGTAGCTGTATATCTATTCCAACTATTCTGTATATGCAAATACAAAACAGTCCTTCCTTTGTATCCCCTTTTTTTGTTTAGTCCTGTCAGAGATGGGTATTCTATTGGCATCTAAATACTATAGGTGATCGAATTCAGCAAAACAATCCAATACAGTTCAGGAGTCCACAATAGTAGTGGGTTATCCACAGAAGTTGTTGACTAGAGCCTTTTACAGCTCAGCATATTAATATGGCTTTACTTTATATACCTCATTTTTATATTTTTCTGCTGGATGGTTAAGACCAAGATAAAGCAAGACCTATATAACAAGAAATGTAATTTTTGTATCTGATAAAGTCAGTCAAGTACCCTCAG